TAAAAAAAAAAAAAAAAAAAAAAAAAAGTTTCCTTTTAGACATAAAACACATTTACAGCATGCGGGTTAACTTAAAATTATATGGCATCTTTCCAAGCCAATTACCTTTAAGTATATTTTTAAGCACTGAAAATGAAACCAACATATTCCACAGGTAGACTTAGATTGTCACCTCTCAAATTGAGTTACCAAAAAATTGAGTTGTATACAGTAGTTTTCTTAAGCCAACAATTTAATCCATCACTACGAACAAATATTACTTAAAGGAGGAAGCGGTCTTGCTGAATTACAGGCAGGTTGTGAAAAAAATTAAGAAGTCAATATGAATCCAGTTTTGGGTCACACTAAATCGGAAAAGAGTAGTAATGAGCAGGTGAAGTAGCTGCCACAGACTGAGGGCAGTTCTTCTGCGAAATCTGAAACGAGTAGACATGAAAATGTTGGAAAGAAAACTCCATGACTCTGTGAACTGGAGAAGTCCAGCGGGAACAAGTCGGCACAGGCGCGCTTTCATGACAGACGACTAGGTGAGATTACCAAGGGATCATGTGCATAAACTGGACCAAGAGCACAACTCCGGAGCACTAGTGTTGCGTTAGGTTGGAGAAAAGCCCAGTAAAGTAAGAAAAATCAAGTCCCCAGAGGCACGTGCTGAGGGGTCCTGCTGCATCAAACACTGATGTGCAAAGACGGAGGCTGAGCAGGGACTGCCGGGCTTAGCAATGCAGAAGTGCGGAGGTCACCAATGACTTTCCCGAGTAAGACGTGGTGGGTACAGGCAAAGACTCGACTGAAGGGTTTCAGAGAATGTGCAAGAAAGAGCTGCGGACAGCTAGTACAGCCACAGCTTTCAAGGGCGATACAAGGCACAGATTCGGCGTGGAAGCTGACAGGGCCAGGGAGGAAAATAGGTGGTTGGGTTTTTTGTTTTGTTTTGAAGCAGTAGCAAGCCTGTATGACGTCAGAAAGCTCCAGGAGGAGGCGCTCCTTCCCGTTTTCAGTGTTACTCAAGGGCCCCTGTGGGTGATTTTTAGATTCGCTGGTGATGAGGCCCCACTGCTTAATAGGTGAGTGCACGAGGGCACTGCCCTTGTGCAACTGGGTGCTGGTGAAAATCTCCTCCTACATCGATATCTAGAAAGTGCACCAACAGTCACTGCTGTACAACAGGGCATTTAATAAGCATTTACCAAGTATGACTGTCGGGTTTCAACAGGGTCTGGGCTCCCTGCCTGGTTCTCTCAATGGTTGGCAGGTGTCAGGTTTTCTGATTGGGATGTGAGACAAATCTACCTACCTTCTCTTTTAGCATGAGTAACCCGCCACTTTTTTTCTCCTATAGTTGATTTTATGCTCAGAAATTCCTCCTAGATTTCATTAGTAGGTTATACACTGGATATACTTTTTGGTGAAAGAAAACCTTTTTTCTATTTTTTTTTCATGTATCTGGGAAACCAGAATAGGGTAAATCAGGGGTGATTATGCAGATGTTATTGCTAAATGTTATACTTTGAAGTTAAGACAACATGTAACACTGAATAAGTCAAAGTGCTTATAATTTGTTTTCTACGAAATAGTTTATTGTTTACTGTGGAGAGGCTACAAATACATATCTGATGTGAACACAAAGGACCGTACTTTGCAGCACTGGTAAAGAATGGTTATGAGGAACTGAGAAACTGGAAAACAGGGCACACATTTCCCACCATACATCTTAAAATATCAAAGGCACTTACCAGCAAAGGTTAAATTAAGGAGTGTGAAATGTAAAATAATGAATACACCCAAGGCATAGAATTAAGTGCGTAAATTTTCCTGTAGTTTGATTTCTGGTATATTACTAAAATCTCAGATTTATGCAATTGACTCTGTAGCCTTAAAACAATTAGCACATAATTAAATTTCATTACCTCTTCAATGGAGTATTATACAACCAGAATGTTTCCGTACTCGATTGCTGTAAGAACATTTCTGGGTGAAGACTAAAGGCCCCACTGTTATGTCCATCGTGTCTCTCTGCTTAACACGGTGCAAGTCAACTTCCACTTCCACACCAGCACACCGGAATCTCTGTGACTTCCGAGGCACAGTCATGCAGCACTTTCATCTGTCACCTGCCTCAGAAACATGGTGTGCTCCTGACTGTCACAAGCTTACATTTATGCTTTATTACAAGGCAGTCATACTTTCAATTCCTACTTGCTTGTTCTAAGCAGCTTCTTAGGATCATATCCAGAATTAAAGTGCATTACCATCCCTATTTACTTGATTTCCAGGGGGGAAAAATATCAGTATGCCTACCATCAAACTTTCCAAGAAGGCCCAGGTAGGTGTGGTGGTACTGGCCTTTTATCTCAGCTATGTGGGAGGCTGAAGGCAGGGGGATTACTTTAGCCAAGGAGTTCAAGACTAGTTTGGGCAGCAGAATCATGCATGTGTGCACATGCATGCACACACACACAAGGACCTGAACACACAAATGCCCAAGCCCGACTCACATCAGTCTAAAGGTGGTGCCACTTGTCTACAAATGGAAAAACAACAATGGAGGGATGAAGACATACAGCACCTTTAGCTCCGATGATCCAGTCTTTACAATGGTTTGTGGCAATTTCCTGCACACTGCATTCTCAAATGTATTTAGATTGATTCATGATCTTACTCCCCATTCAAGAGAAAAATAAAATAGGCTCCAATCACATTTCCAGGTGAAAACACAAAATTAGAACAGTCCTCAGCTTAGTAATACTAAGTCTCAAAATAATTAAGGACATCTAATGACATCCATTCTCAATGTGGGTAAGCAATTTCTTGCATAATTCCTAATCATGGTGAATATACACCATGATGTACAATGTCACTGTGGGCTACAATGCTGACAGGGCATTAAACATGTTTAAGAGTGTACTGGCAATGGCAGATTTCAATTTCTTTTTGTTCTCTCCCCTTCAGTTTATGAGTTATTTACAGAGTGCTCTTACATGCTACATATAACTGTAGGATGCCAATTTTTTGCTATAATAAGGTCAACATTATAATTTTCTAATGCAGAGTATAGAAATGCATAGGAGGACTATAATATAGGCAATCGACAGTGAGCTAACATAAGGTATTTCTGTATCTGATGTATATTATCCTCTGAGTTTAATGTGCCATCTTCAATATTGAACTTTCCTTTAATCAACAAATCTCCTAGTTTATAAAATCTTAGGATAATTTCCAGTGAACTTTATCAAGATAGAAAAGCCAAAGACTACAGATACTGAGTTCTAATCAGAAGGAACCAGTTACTCAGCACTATAAGCATCCCAGAATTGCTGTAAGCCAATTGACTTCTGAAATTTAATATAAACTACAAGGGTATGTTTCAGGCATGAAGATAGTGACCTGATTTCACTGGTATCAACTAATGTTTGCAAAGCTACTTGAGTTTTTCTTTCAATCTTCATTGTTGTGAAACAAAGATAGTTTTGATGGTGGCAAACCTCATTTATTCATTGCAGGATGACCAAAGCTCAATGAGAGAAAGAATGATTAAAGGAAGAAATGAAGTTAGGCTGGCTCAGTGTGAATGACTGTTTCTCCTGTTTTGATCATAAGAAGGTTCATGTGTTCACTGTCACCACGATAATATCATAAATATGCCAGGAATTTTAAGACTTTCAGAATTAAGATCAAGAAAGCCAAAATGATGAAATGAACTAAGCCACGATTGTTAAAAAGTTCTAATCGTCGTACATCCACCACTGGAAGTCTCAGCAGAAACATATTTGAATACAAACAGCTATGTATATACAGTTATGGTCATATAAATATTTCATTTTCATGGTTACAAATTTAAAAATAATTTCATAATTTTTAATAGTTTCTTCAAAAGTGGCATACTTTATTAAAAGAAACAATGGAAATGCGGAGTCTTTTAAAGACATAATCTTCATTTTCACTAACAGGTAGAGGAGCCAGATTTCTATACCAATTAATAGAAAATGAATCACCTACAGGTCTAGTTCCAATACAAATAAAGGATACATGTATGTATATTAGGACTGATTCTGCCCATTCCATTCCAGCAGTCCCATTCTTGAATTATCAGGTACTGAAACTCTAAAAATACTCCCTCTTTCCTAGGTACCCTCTTTAGTCAAAGATTTTTTAGCAGTTCATATGCTGTTCACTTAACTGACACTACAGAGTGAAGTGAAGAACCAAGACTATAATATGTAAGATCTCTATTGCTTTTCAAATGCTCTAACTATAAAATTTAACACTTATAACTTTATATTGTGCAAGTGTCTGACTCAATCTGCTTTCTTCCTTCAAATTTCTAAACAGAATACTGTTTCTTAGTATTAGTACTGTAGAATTAAACATACACACAAAAACATCCAGGTCCCATGTTTTATATATTTTCAATTAAAATGGCCAAAGAAATAAAATCTGTTACATGGGACCATCACTTCCCCTTTTTACATATTGGTTCTTACCATGAATGCTATTTCTGATTTAAGATGCCCATGTGCACAAGTTTCTACAAAGTCTCCAATTGTATTGTAATGGTTCCTCCTCAAACATTAGTATGCATTTCCATTTTGACTTGTGTGCACAAGGAGGCTGGCACATTTTAGACTACACATTTTGTCATTATAAAAGCAGCTAAGGATTAATGGCGACCACTCAGCATTTGACTACTGGCTGGCTGATTCATCTACGTTCAGATTATCCATGCTCCTGACTTTGGGTGTCATCACGGTTGGTTTGGAAACTTAATTGTGCAGTGTGCATCTCCCCAAGGATGATGAAGATAGAAAACGGAAAACTGATGATTTTGCTGGCTTTAGTGCTTCTGGTAAAAGAGTTACAATTACAGAGAAAAATGAATGATGAAAATAAAGGAAAAAGTTACAAATGGGTTTCACTTACATTAGGACTAGTCCCTCCTTACTGGAGTTTAACTGGCAACAGATTCGACCATGACTGGCAGCTCTATTTTGATCATTTTAAAATACTCCAATGACATTCTCCAGCAGTTTGATGAGCTTCAGTTTTATGATGCCATACTATGTTTCTCACAGTTTAACTTTCCCATTTTTATAGTTCAAATACCAGAAAATAAATCCACTTTCCCTTATACAGTCAAAAATAGGTTTATTGGAATGTTTTCAGTTATAATCGAAGGCAGAAACATTTATTTTTGTTACACCCATAAACATGTGGAAACTGCTTACAGAGCCATCCTATTATAAAAAGAATGGTATCCTTGCAAACATTGGTGGAATGGTTATGGATCTCTGTTAGCATAATGATTGGGTTCTCTACATAGGCTTTTGGACCCCAAGCCTGACCCCCTTCTTGATGCAATGATGTAAGACCTTAAGCCACTAAAATATTAGTATGAAATACTGTCAGTGTTTGACTATATACACAAATAATGAACGGGCAAGTATCCAGTTTCAAATTGGATCCTTGGAATACAGCAAAATAGTTATCTTTGCTTTATACAATTATTCAAAGTATTTTGTTGAAAGGGAAGAAAGAAGATAATTGGACATTCTCAATGCTCCAATTTGAAGTGATACTTGCCTCTTAGTTTCTTGAAAAAGAAGTTCTGAAAGTTATATACATAGGTTTCATTTAAATTACACAGCAATCTTTTATTATTATTTTCTCAGATCTTGTTTAATGAGGAGCTCTGTCATCAGATCAAGTATGGTATTTCACAACTATAAGAACTGTAAGAGAAAGAAAATAGAAAAAATATATCAAAATTAAAAAAGGTCAAAATATATTCATATGTTGTTAGAAGCAATATTCTTAACTGTAACTGTGTTTCAGAACAGAGTTATTGCCAGGCAGGGTCATGCACTCTTATAATCCCAGCATTCAGGATGCTGAGGCAGGGGGACTGCTGTGAGTTTGAGGCCAGCCTGGGCTACATAGTGAGTTCGAGGCTAACCTAAACTACACAGCTGTACATAGCTTTTGGTTTCAAGAGACCAAAATAACAAACAAACAAACAAATAAACCAAAAGATGAAAGGGGTTATGAAGACTGAACTTTTATCTGATATTTTAATAGATAATAAATAAGGAAATACAAAAATATCATAAAACAATGCGAATATCTAACACTGGCATCTTGATCAAATAAGTTATGGAAAAATGAATGGCATGTGGTGGCTAAAATATTGAAATGATGACATGGGAAATAGTCACAATGATTAGAAAAAAACACCTTGTTTTTAAATAAATGTTTATTAATAGGAAGACTAGAATAATATCCAATAGTTATATTAATAGCACCTATCTCTGTGTGGTAAGAGTACAGTTGAATTTTATTTTCTTCTTTATGCTATTCCAAGTTTTCCATGTTGTCCACTATACATGGTTGATTCCTGTTATTTGAGATAGTTATGTTCTATACTTAACCACAAACGCTACATACTGAACCACTGCTCCTAGGGAAAATAAAGGGTTAAGTTTTTGTGAGCCCCTGGTTACATTTTTATCAACCAATCAACATATAATCTTGTTTTATGTATGTTTTAGAGTAATGTATATCATTTAATATACATTATTGATTCAGCATTATTGAACTCAAGGCCAAAAACACTGTAACCCATGCCTAAAAAAGGTTTACCTAACACATGTAGTTTTTGTTCAGGGACCTTATAGCCTTCTTGCACTTGATAACACTAGACAGCACTTCAGGACTAAGACTGGGGGCCATTTTAAACCATAAAATCACAACAGACAGCATAAACATGTGGAAAATGTGGCACTATGTAGACTACAAAAATAATACTTTTAAAGGTAATTAGACAAGAAACAGAAAAGCAGACTGCATTATTTGAACCTCAGGTGAAAACCTGCTGGTCAGGAAACTGAAAATTCTTGTTGCTCTGAACACTTCTGCAAATGACTAGAAAATCAACCTGAGTACTGATTTGGGGCTTAAAAATAAAATTCAGCTAGTAAGTGAATTCATAAACAAAGAATCCACAAGTAATGAGACTTGGCTGTATTTCTTTGTAACAAAACTTTTTGTTTGTTTCAACAGAATAGACTCATGATGTTTTTAAATGATTATTTTGAGACACTTTCCAGATGTTTATAAAATCTCTGTAAATACAGGTAAAGAGGCCTTATGGAAAGGTAACTACTAAGAATGATTTGGCTCTAAAAGGATATTGAAGAAAAAGAAGAGGAAGAAATTATACTTTAAAATGAAGTGCAAATTCAAAACAAAACAAAACATAACACAACAGAAAACATCACCTGGAGAATTTAACTGCATTTGTCCTTCCCCAACAAGTATTATTGCACACATTACAAATTGTTATACCTGAAAGTGAACAGTAAATGAAAAAAGAATATCTTCCTAAGTGCAATAAAAACTGGATTTGGCATTGAACAAATCAGCCCTCTATTCCAGGGTGTGGGTGATGTGGAGGAGACAGATTCCTCTTGAGAGGCTGACAAAAGAAATAGACTTTGTCCCCTGAGAAATGTACATGAGCATATTTATGTAAAATTTAGCATGCATTTTCAGAGATCCAAAAATTCTAGGTTAAGGATCCTGACTCAGATTAGAACTCATTACTGAATTATGACATTAGACATGCTAGGTCAGCTGAAAATAAATCAAAAGGGAATTAAAGTCAACTCCAAAACAAAAAATAACCTCTAGAAATAATAATCCAGTAAGTACTTACTTATGATCATTAGCAAGAGGAAAACAGCAACCAAAGCCATGATGGCTTTTATCTACAACACAGAAAAAGGCATATGAAGGATATTGTTTGACTGCTAATACAGCCAGGACTGTTTGTCCTATACTTATTTATATTAACTCATCAATAATAGCACATTCATTGAAAAGTTCTCAATTTGTTTCTCATATGAACTTGCTGGCTGTTTTGCAGCCTTTATTTAAAAAAATTTTTTATGTTGCACTCTATGATTTCTTTTTTCCCTCATTAAGTTTATTGGTACATTTTAGGTATACAATGCAGTTACATTCATCATTAGGATCCTGTACCTTTACATTATGTATCAGGAATGTTTCCCTCAAAATTGAGTCTTTCCTTGGCTGGCTTTTATAGTTCAAGGCTATACTGCATAAAAAACAATAATGAAGACTTTATGGACCCGGACTTTTTTTCATATACTTATTTCTATGTGAGGCTAGGAAAAGTACAGTATATGAGATTTTTCCAATTCTGTTCAAGTGTCAGGATGTGGCGATTAACAGAGGCAGCCAATCCAAAAGGTTTAATACACAGTGGTCCTAGCTTATCTGAGGGTGACAGCTTGTGAAGGTGTCCTCAGTAGATGCCCGAAACCCCAGGCAATGCCAAATCCTACATATACTGTGTTTTTTCCTAGGCATGTGTACTGCTGATAAAATTTAATTTATAAGTTAGGCCCAATAAGAGATTAACAATTAATAATAGGAACAACTCTATAACAATAAACTGTAATAAAAGTTAAGCGAATTTAGCCTCTCTTGAAAAAGTCAAGACAGATATTACTATTTTGGGGGCCATGGCTGGTCATGGGTAATTGGAATTGTGGAAAGAAAAACTACTGGGATGGGTATGGGGGTGCTACATATAGGGCACTTATTCTCAAAGCATATGAGCATAACTTAGTTTTTTCTCTCTTTTCTCCATGGTGTTTGAAGCTCTATTCCAACAAATACAGTTTAGATTCTTCACGAATAACCTTATTTAATAAATATCTTGCCTAAGACTATTCTAAGTGTCACTTTCACAGGTGAGATGAGAAACCTTACAATGTCAGTCAGTTGCTGGACATTTTAAGTTCATGTTATCCTCCTATGTAAAACTGTTATACTGACCACTTCATCTAAAATGCATAAAATTGTTTAATTTTTTAAATTAAAATCCATCTTTTCATAATTTTTGACTTGATTAAAAATGGTTTCCTCAGAAAAAAAAGATACCATTATAAACAGATGAAACATTCTAATGAGTATCACAAATAGAAAAAGGTAGTTAATGAAATGTTTCTAAAAATAGAATGACTGGTGACACTTTTGTGGGATTACGTTCATGACAGTAAGAGTGATCTGGAGAATATATGAAAACTTTGCAAAATGAACATCAGCACCTATTAAAATTATTAATTATGATAACCAAAAAATGTAGAAAAACTCAAAATGTAGAGAAATAGGAGGTATATTTTCAGTAGGAATCTGGGCCCATATTATGCTATAAACTAACTTAATTTAATATGAAAACACTGCTAAAGAAATCTGGAATTTTATAGTAGTTTTTCCACTCTGCCCAAAACATACATTACTTTGCCCTATTTAAATGGAAGTATCAGTATCAATTTTTAAATATCTTAATGAGTAGTTTTCTTCTTTGGGTTTCTAACACTGGGCAGGAAATGTTTCCAGCTCCAAATGGCAGTATTTTACTCATGCATGTGCAAAGCACTCTTCTTTCATATGCCGCAGACAAACTCTACCATTAAACATAAAAGAGCCTAACAGCCTCGCAGGAACATAAGAGGTATCCGCAATTTTCCCTCCCTGCTCCCTGGAAAACTTACTCACTTACTTGTTTTTAAAGCCAGGTTTATTGAGATATTCTTTACACAGAATAAAATTCATCCTTTTAGAGGTACATTTTGATGGGTTTTGACAAATACACATATTGTTCACCGCCATCACGAGCAGATAAGAGTGGCTATTCCTACCACTGTCCCCTCAAATTCCCTCATGTCCAGCTCGTATCAATTTTCACCCACTCTTCCCCCTTTTAGACACTGGCAACTCCTAATTTGTGTTCCAACTCCTGTTCTGTTCCAATATCTTTTCTCATAAATCTCTTCCTAAATCACCACTGTAAAGTTAACCCTGAAAAAGGGAGCATGAGAAGGCAGTCACAGATAAACAATAGCACAGAGAATGTGGGGTTCAGTGAGACAGAAGAAAAACACACACCAGAAAACAACCAATGGAAAGCGATGGCTGCTCTCAATGAGCTTTAAGTTACAGAACAATGCTCATGACATGGATGATGCTATCAGTGATTACTAATGGCCATATAGAGCCTGTGAGAAACATAATTCCATTTTTAAAGTCTTTTTAAAAAGCGATTCCTTTGATTTGAACCATCATAAATTACAAAACAAAAAAATCTTTAGATATGGTTAAAAATTCTAGGCAAGATGCATACTTTGACTATCTTTTTGTGGCTCTATGAATGGGGCATGTGTGTTAAGGGAAGAAGAGGCGAGTGGCTCATGAATTTTTTGTTTTTCTATACTAAAGTACAGAAAATTGTGCTAAAAATAAACAGAAAATTTATTCTTTAAAGAATAAAGAATTTAGGATAGAAAATTTAAACTCTAGACAAGGGGACCAATGACATACTTCTTTCTTTCCTCAATTCTATTTTTGGAGGAACATTCAGCAAGTACACAAAACTAAGTACGTCTAAGCAACTCTTGGAAGAAATCCTTAGCATATGGCAAAGTCAGGTTTTAGAAAATTAATGCTGAACCTGAACAAAAGCAACAATCTCATGTCTATATTTTTATCAAAGCCAAAAGTTTTACCTAGAATCAAGAAAAAAAAGTGCCACCGCCTGCCTTGCAAGCACAAGGTCCTAAATTTGATCCCCGGTATCAAAAAAAAAAAATTTTTTTTTTTTGTTCACATGACATGAAAGTAATTAAAAAAAAATCTTAAAAAAGAAACATTTACTGTTTAATGATTAGTAGTCACATTTGATATACGCATATTTTTCTTTTTGGAAGTACTGAGGATTCAACCCAGGGCCTTTGCACTGAGCTATATCACCAGCTCCTTTTATATTTTAGGTTCAGTCAGGGTCTCACTAAGTCTCTAAACTGCCTGAACTGGGCTCAAACTTTCAATCCTCCTGCCTCAGCCTCTCAGAGTTTTGAGATAACAGGTATGTGCCACCATGCCTGGCTAGCTGCATTTTATTTAAGAGTAAATTCATTTCATAAAATGTTCTGCAGATATCTATTAATGTCCAGTGATTCTTTTCCTTGTTAACAATTTCTTTTACTTCTTATTTCTCTATAATAATAAGGGATAATGGGATGTTCCCCCCTTGATCCCACTTGGTATAAGAGAATCTGACCTAAAAACTGCTTCATTTTTCCCTCAACATAAAATCCTATTTTTCTCTAGCTCCCATTTCATCTAAATGTCTATGTAGTGATACAGTATGCTCCTAAAGTGCTAAAATAAATTATAAAAATTGTTATAATAAGTCTAGAGGTAGCTAAGTTATTAATAAAATGTGGGTTACTTTCATGAAGAAATCTATGCAAACATGCTTTTAGGTACTGCTTGATTCGTCTAAGTTATTCCTGTCTCAAAAGTAATTAATTCAAGTAATATTTTTTTACCATATTCCAGGTTCAAAAGATATAACAACAGTTATAGTACCTAGCCTCACGAAACTTACATCCTACAGGCCCAAGTTGAATACAACTTGAGATGCTAACTGATCTGCCCAATATCTTTTGATTTACTTACTTTGCAGCCGCGCCACCACATTTGCCTTCGAAGCTGTTTGGATCTGTTGCTAAAAGCAGTTGCATTATCCGATAAGCTTTCTATATCACATAGAGGATGGAGAGAAGGATTAAACGACATAACAGGATTCTTTTATCTAGTCACACAAAGACAAGAAAATATTAATTTCTACTTCTGCAAATTTATTTCCTTTTAAGCATGAACACAACATCCTTCTCCTCCTCCTCCACCCACAAACTCTGCAATTCTACATTGTAAAAAAGAAAAACAAAAACAAAAAGCAAAACACAGCTGCAGGTCAGTTTGCCTAATCTACTTTTACTATAAGATTAAGAGAAGCACTCCCATGGCCTCAATGCTTAAATGAATTCAGGCAAGAAATTACTCTTAAAAATATGAATACTAAATAGAAAAACCAAGAGATAGATCTTTTGCAAATGAGAAGGGGACCAAGAGGTAGAGGGAGAAGAGCAGAAGGTGACATAAAAGAATTAAGATGTGCTGTGTACATGTACCAATACCCAAAGATGAATGTAATAATTATATGCTGCAAACATGTACTAATAAAAATTTTAAAAAGACAAAAAAATACAAACAATAGGGGCTGGAAGTATAACTTAGTGGCAGAGTACATGTTTTGCATGTGTAAGGCCCTGGGTTCAATCCTCAGCACCAGAAAAAACAAATAAAAACTTGCATATCTCTAGAGAAAAATTATATTGGACTCCAAAACAACTGATTTTTGAAGAAAAATAGTACGAACTCTAAAAGTTTCTAAATAAGTTTTTTAGTCAAGCAAGTCTGTCCAGAATTAATCAGGTATTCAGCCATTCATCAGATAATGTAAGTGACTAACAAGTGTCAGGAAGCTTATGAGCACATAAACTAATACCTGTCAGTAAAGAAAAGTTACTGAATTACCAGAGAAGGCATGAATCATCAGTCAGCCAGCCACACATCATTCATGTGGCCACATGTGAGTGCCTAATCTGTGCCAAGAACTGTGACAGGGGCTACAGAGACTAACATCTGCCACTAAAGAAGTGTTACAAAGTTACTAGAGAATGCATGAATTAGAAAGGTCAGCTAAGTCTGGAACAAGTTTTGAAAAAAATGGTTAGACCATTATGCCTTAAGATGGTTAGAAATATCATAAATGTGTGTTGCAGTTTGTCAAATGCTTTCTCTGCATGTATTGAGATGAATATGAGTTTTTGTCCTTGGCTCTATTAATATAGTGTATTACATTTATTGATTTGCATATGTTGAACCATCCATGCATCCCTGGGAGGTATCCCACTCAGTCAGGGTGTATGATCACCTTAATTACCCATGAGAACCTAGAGACATTCATAGCTAAATGGATGTACATTGAGATGATGCTCTTAAGTGAAAAAAAAAAAAAGGACACCTATGTGTAAATACCAAATAGTTTCTCTAGTGTGAGAAACTGAAAGTGTAAATAAGGACTAAAAGGTATAATAGATAATGTGAAATAGGAAGAAAAGGTGCAAAGGGGAAGGGGAAGTGGGCAGGGTAGGGGAAAAAGATGGGAATGGAATTAACATGAGAAAAAGAAAAAATGGAAACAAAGTCTTTGTACATAGCTGGGGGGTGTGGAGGGGTTGAAGGGAGGGCAAGAGAATGGCGAAAAATAAAAACCAAGATGGATTATGAAAAGGTGCAAATTTCTAATTATGAATATCATTACATTGCATATCTTAAATGTACCAATAAAATTAAAAAGAAATGCCAAGCATATCAATACAAGAGAGCAAAAGGAAAATCATCTTCATAATGAATTAACAATTCTCCATTCTCATCTGAGCAATAATTCGGAATACAATAAGATGGTTCAAAGTAAAGGGAGCTAAAATTAAATCATAAAAAGCATAATCTGAAGAATCAAATGCTAATTTCCTAAGCCAAGATTTCTAAACATTTGTAGAGAAGAGGGAGAAAACATAAATTAGCAAAGCACAGATTAATATCAAGAAGTAGGTAAAGTAGTTGTACCTGATTTGTCCTGTAGTTCATCTAGTCTCTCCCCTCTTTCAATTACCTTTGTAATATTTTCTTGCATGACATCAATAACTTCATCCACCTGATTCTGAACACTAGTTTTAAAAAAAGATAAATTATTCTTCTCTTAAAATGCTTAGAAATTTTGAAATTTTTATTAGACATGATCGAGAACATCAAATGCTCAGATAATTACAGTTTATTTTTAAACTATAAAATGCAAATAAGCATTGTTCTTCCAGTTGTGAGTTTGAGTGCTGAGGTAATTAAAGACAACATGAGTCAGATGTGGTAGTGCATACTTGTAATCCCAGCTTCTTGGGAGGCTGAGGCAGGAAGGATTCAAAATTAGAGGCCAGTCTGGGCAATTTAACAAGACTGTCTCAATGGGGATGTTGCTCCGTGGTAGAGCACTTGCCTAGCATGTGTGAGGCCCTGGGTTCAATCCCCAGTATTACAATAAATGTAATATGATACAAATTAACATTTAACTGAGATATAGTTTTATTCTTGTTTCTATTAATGTAACAAGCAAATTAATTGTACTGTCAGAATGCTTAGTAACTGCAGAATTTAGTCAAACAGCTTCACTCTAAATGTTTCATTTTCTTGTCAACAGGCTGCTGAAATAGCACACACAGCCATAACCTACTATGCTCTATATTTCACATATCAGGACTAACAAAAGTGTTTGCTTGGGTGGGTTAGAGGCTTATGGAAAAAAAATCTGTTTTCCAAAATGGAAACATAAGGCACACCCTAAAGGACACCAATGCTCAGTGGACAGAACTCTTCACTGCTCATCAGTTTTTTCCTAATCATAAACAAATGGGAACACTCTCCTCAGAAAGCAAAAACGAAGGGCTGGGGATTTGGCTCAGTGGTTCTGCCACCTGCCTCGCAAGTGCAAGGACCTGAGTTCGATCCCCAGTACCAAAAAAAAAAAAATATATATATATATATTTTTTTTCTATCCTTTAAAATAAAAATGTTCTCCTCCTTTATATTAGGTGGGGCCTGTTTTAAATCAAAATTCAGACTGTTCACTAAAAAACTTAACCAAACTTAAAAATTAATCATTGGTCTTCATCTTCAACTATCTACTTCATTCACACCAGAGATATGCTTAATTATTTTAAGTGTCTAGTGTCTGATGCTATAATCAGAAGAAAAACAAATTACTTTATGAAATAAGTCAGGGCAATGAAAGATTTAAAAGGAAAAATAGAATGAACTCATGATTCTTATGACTCAAAAAATTTAGAGTGCTATTAGCAACTGAATAAATATTAAATATGCACATATATTTACATAAATAAGGATATATGCAATGGTATTTTCTTTAGGGAAGGCAGAAGTACATTTGTTATCATTAGGGGAACTTACAATATTCACATATTTCTTCTCTTCTACCCCACACTATCCCCCAAACTAATCCAGAGAGTTAAGGTTCAGGCACAGCCATGTGTAATTTTAAGAAAGAGTTCTATCCTTTTCCTATCACTGAGCTATTTCTTCAAAAGGTTTGTTTTAAAAATACAATGAGATCTGTTTAGACATTGGTGGATTCAGAAGTACTCTCCCATTCAAGTAGCAATTGCTATGCATGGTGATAATCACTTCCCTGTGGGGTTCAAGCATTATGTGTACCCACTGATTATCCCCGTAGAACCTTCAGGACTAATCACAGCTTCTGGTGTCCTATGCTTTCCACACATCACTGTACTGAAAAATGTAAGACTGAAGATCAACCAGGCAGGGGCATGCAAAATTCTCTTCTGCTCAAACAGGTCTTACAAAGCCTGAGAATCTCTAAGATATTCTGTTGCAAATCCTAATTCTCTAAGCAGAGAGCTAGAAGTGTTTATTCTATATGCGGAACATAAATATTTATATAACTAATCAATTTATTCAACAATAATTAACGAGTACCTACTATGTACTGTTTTAGGTACTGAGAAAACAACAAAACAGGTGATAACTCTGTATCTTATGGAACTTATATTCAAATGTACAATGAAGGCTTTGTGTTAACCTTAGAGCTTTGAAACAGAATGTTCAACATTACAGTATTTTATTTTCAGCGTTTAACACCAAGGTAAAGTACTTAAATAAATGCTTATTTTCTGCATCTCCCTACTAGAAGTTAAACTATGAATACAAGGGCCTTGCCTATTTTGTCCACTCTTATACCCACTGCTTACAATGGTGCTTAAGGCAGAGTAGATATTCAATAAATACTTGCTGAATAAGTGAACAAATTCAGTGTAAATCCTACAAAACAAAACCAGCTACCTGAGAAAGATATAAAGCAGTGAATATAGACTCTTCTACTTAACTATATAATAGAAATAAATCTATTGTTTATCAAAGATAAATCTTGAAATTCCCAGTTACTTTTCATCTTGTACAAGTGATGATAATCAATAGCCTAAAGTAAGGCAGTATGGCAGGACAGGAATGGACAAAATGTACTATTGCTCCTACACATGATCAAATTATAGTTACTATAGGTATTAATGTATCTGTACTACACATGGTTTTAAAATAAAACAAAAAAGATGAAGAAATAGGTATGGTCCAAGAACATATGTAAGAAAAAAAGACTCCAAGGACATAGGCCAGTTATTTGGGAACCCATACAATCCTAGATTATTTCTAGATTATCAGAGACCTAGAGGTACTACTGCAAAAACAGGCTACACATGTAATAAGTTCCTATTGCTAATGGGAACCCTCCCATATTTTACTAAGTGATCAAGTCATCATTATTTCTTTTTCACAAGTTACTATCCATTTGCATTACACTCAATCCAACTACTGTGTAGCCTTATGCAGTAACAGAAAATCTCATCATTGTGTTTTGTATTTCAAGATGTTTCTGTACCCAGAATACAACTTCTGTACAAGAAAATAAAAGATATTATTTACTTTAATTTGAAGGATATTGTAATGAAACAGATATTTACCTATGACCTTTTACATTTTCAAGTAATTACAATCCTCTAATTTCTATTTGTATTTTACACGGGTCTTATTTCCATTACTATGTTGTAAATGCTGTGAAAGCAGACACTGTTCCCCCTATTTGTTTCCCAGTGAAATGTGCCTGATACAAAATAAGTACTCAACAAATATTTTCTAATCTAAATTAAATATTTAATCTATTCAAAACATTAAAGAAATTATGCTTTTGTCAAGAATACCAATATGAAGGTTATGAGCCTGATACTTAGAAAGATTATAATCCAGTGGGGAAAATGGATATTCATGAGTATACCAGCATGTGTCAATCACTATAATGGAAAGCAGCTCATGGTGACAGTCATGTGGCCTAGAAGACTTCAGCTTGGATCAGAGATGGCATCAAGATTTTGGTGTTGAGTCTTGGGGGATAGAGAAGGAACCGAGCAGGGTAAAGGAGGTAGTGGATAATGGGAAAATTTAGACCACTAGTGGCAAACCTATGGCATGCGTGTTACTGTGTTTTTCTTTTAAGACAAAAGATGTTAATGTAGAGTTTTTTCTAAACTAAAACCTCAGTATTCAGGTTTAATTGCAGTGTTGGTACTTTGTGATAATTAAGTGGGTTCTGAGTTGCAGTTTGGCGCTTGGTCTCTAATAAGTTCACCAGGGCCTGGGATTTAGCTCAGTGGTTCCACCGCCTGCCTCGTTAAGTGCAAGGACCCGAGTTCGATCCCTGGTACCAAAACAAAACAAAAACAAAAAACCAAACAATAAAGAAATCTTTTCTTCCTGAAGTTCTGGGTGTCAGGTATTAAAAGAAAAAAAAAAAAGGTTCACATAACTGTTCTAGACTAAGGGGGATCGATCTATCTATCTATCTATCTATCTATATCTGCTGGGTATTTAAAAAACTAAGTGATTAACTGGATGTTGGTAAGGAACTGGGGACAAAAATGGATATAAGACTCTTAAATTTATGATCTGAGCAGTTGAGTGGCAGTACATAGATAATGACAACCAACTAAAACAGGAAATTAAAAACTCAAAAGGAATAGCAGATTTGGGGAGGAGTAGAAATTTATATCATGGTCTTCAGGTCATATAGTAGAAGATGACATGGATAGGACGTAACTAGGGAAAGGGAAAGGCCCACAGAGAGGAATACTCTTACAGTCTGACACCTGTGTTCCTAAACTGTCACCATTCCAGTCTTCAACAGGGAAGCCGCATGGTGGAATGCAGAGATCTTGGATTCTATGTTCAGACAGAACTGGGTTTGCAGTCCTGTTTCTTACTTACTCTGTTTGTGGTTAAGAAAATCATTTGTATTTTCTCAGCTTTAAAACACAAACGGTAATCTGTTTCATGTGTGAGAATTAAATATGATCGTGTTTTCAAACATTTAGTAGTGTCTAATGCTTTGCACATGCTTGATAAATGTGTTAAAAACAGAGTTTCATGCTCTGCAGCATACATATACTTATTTTATAAAGAAAAATATTTATTTTCATAACATCTCCATCTTGTGGCCCTTTAAGGTACTGTTGACAAAATAATTTTTTTATAGTTATGTTGTATTTTTGCAACTCATACGTATTGCTGTTATACCATGGAACATTCTCTTGGAGTGTATAAAAGTGAAGCTGATTTGACCAAAGCTATAGTTAGGGAATCTCCTACCTGTGACAGAATAGCTATATAGTTCACTAGAGTGAGATTTAAAGTACTATTATTTAATTTAAAAGCAAAGAAATATTCCAAAGAGAATAATAATTATTTTTTCTTTTTCCTGGTACTGGTGAACAAACTCAGGACCTTGAGCTTGCAAGGCAGGCACAGTACCACTAAGCTGAATCTCCAGCCCGAGAATTATAAATTCTATATAGGCATATGAATATTTAAAATCCTTCACCCAAAATATTCCCTAGAAAGTGATAGTGGGTATTTTTTGTGGCATTAATCTATCACCAACATTATTAGTGTTCAAATTCAAATAAAGGAATGTTGCCAATCTATACAGTCAGGAAATACCCTGTACTGAAATCTTGCAAATTAAGTGGTGACAACGTGTCTTATGACATTAACCAATGTGGGTTACTCATTAATGACAAGGAGTTTTCCTTGGGCACACTGTCCTCTGTTACCCTGGGCACACTGATGAGTCGCATCCTGGTTAGAAAGGCATTCTTAAGGTTGAACCATCACAGTTTAATCTGTGCCTTTGATCACTCATTTCGAACTAAATCTGCCCAGCCCTCAGCTCTAGAGTAAGAACCATTATATTTATTCAGTAATTATTTTTTTTAAGTTCTGTAATTACTGAAGTTATTGTGGAAGTTTATCTATCTGTATGTGCATGATATTTACATAGACACATATTCTGTAATGACTACTTAGTTCACTGGTAGTAGTTTTAGGGTTCAGCTGGAAAAATCAAATTCAAAAGACCCAACAGATTATACTCCACAACAGGCTCACTCTGCAGAAGGATATCAGACAGGAAACAAAGCATACTGGCAGGACAAAAACCAAATGGTCGTCAGTGGATTCCCCCTCTTCAGTGACAGCTTGAGTATAAGAAAATAAGACCATGCAGGTGGATACAGAAGCCAGTGGCTCAGTGTAGGGCAATGGCTCAGCTAGTACACATTAGTGCCCTTGCACACATCCACATATGCCATATATTTTGTGAATGTGCTAGAAACCTGAGAGTGAGTGGCCTGGTGAGGCCACCTCCAACTGACTGCCATGTCAACCTAGGAAACTGTCATAGGACCATTTATCGCCTCTTGGGCACTGATAAGGTATGAACTTTCAGTAGGTTATATATGTAGATTGTGAAAATCACTTTAACTGCAGTCTAGAAATAGCTCCTTTTCCATAGAGCAACCTACAACTGGTCCTGTAGCCACTGGCCCCTTTTGTTTTGGTATCATATGTGGTGTGTGGGACAATGACCCTGGGAGGTGGCATTTTTGGCTACCCTTTTACTATATAAGTAATAAACTGTGTGACTAAAAGCAGATTGTATCTTTCCTGGTGAAATCAAAGACTTGAAGCAGTGGACATTCTGTCCTTTGCAAGGAATTCTGTCCATAAACACCTGAAGGTAGACTGTGCACTTTGAGACAACTTGACTGCAGGCTTGTTGAACCCTGAGTAGAGGACTCACATAAGCAGCGCTTGAACTCCTGACCCATTGAAATTGTGACATGATAAATGTACAGTGCTTTTAGATGTCAAATTTATAACTTGCTATATAGCAATAGAAACAGTAGGAGCTAGAATAGTATTCTCATCAATTTGTTGGTACAGGTTAAGCATTCCTTATCTGAAAATCTGAAATACTCCAAAACCCGAAACTTCTTGAGTAATGACATAGCACCACAAGTGGAAAATTCCACACCTGGCCTCCTATGACAGGATGTGATAATGCAGTTACACTACAAATATTGTATAACATTACCTTTGGATATGTATATGAGAAACATACACTGATTTCATGTTTAGATTTGGGTCCTCTCCCCGAGATATCTCATGCAAATATTCCAAAATCCAAAATACTTCTGATCCCATTTATTTCAGATAAGGAATACTCAACTTGTACCCTAGTTCCCTACTTGAAGTTAGAATTAGGGCAAAATGGATACAGTTCTTTACACCAACATTACTTCATTAAAAAAAAGCTGAAATATCTGAGCAATAACTAAGGACTCCATAGAGTACCTTCCCAGTTACATCAAGGATTAGGGCAGTGACTGTTATCTTTCCTCAGGTCCTGAGTCTGAGTCATTCAGTTTATCTTCCATGGTTTTTCATACCTTATAGGCTGTCAGTTTTTAGGGCCTTCCCTCAGGTGATTCACTGTTCTGGCCATTCCTTCTCTCTTCCTGTCAGGACCTATGCTTTTCCAATATTAGATACATTCACTATACCATATTCACCCATCACCAAGTAATATCTATAGCAAAAGCTTTAAACTGAAAATCAATTAATCATAAAACTTAGATCAAAATATGGGTTAGGAAGCTGGGCTTGGTGGTGCACGCCTGTAATCCCAGCCCTTGGGAGGCTGAGGCAGGAGGATTACTGTGAGTTTCAGGCCAGCCGGGGCTACATAGTGAGTTCAGGGCCAGCCAGAATACAAAGGGAGAACCTGCCTCAAAAAAACAAAACAAAACAACAACAACAAAAAGGATTTGGATAGAAGATACAAAAATTCAGGAAGTAGAGAAAAGATGCTATAAACAAACTAAATGTATTCTATTTTATTATTCTGAAAATGAGAATCAAGCTATAGATTAGAAGCCAAAATATACCTTTAGATTATGCTGAATAAATGGATTTGACATAAAATAATCAAGAAAACAACCCTAAATTTCCTGAGCTATAAAATTTAGAGACAGCTTTATGAAAGTAAAAATAATGAGGTTTTTATAACTCAGGAGTTATATTTAGTTTATATTAGGAGTTAGCAATTTTTTCTCTTAAGGATCAGACAGCAGATATTTCAGATGTGTAAGCCCTAAGATCTCTGTCACAACTATTTAACTATGCCATTGTTCTTCAAAAGCTGCTATAGAGAACATGAAACAAATGGGTATGGCTTTTCTCCAACAAAACTATTTAAAAAACAGGTTGACAGATTTGGTTCACAGGCTGCAGTTTTCCAACCTTTGGTTCACATAGAGACATGACAATCTTATAAGCAAACAAATATCTCAGGAACTTACTGCTTAATTTTATCATTTCTAGGTCCAAATCTTGGTCCAGATGGTCCCCTTCTGAAAATAAAATATCCATTTTATAGTAGTAATGACAGCATCAGACAAAATAAAAAACCACACATCCACATACACGATCAACCTGAATTCTAAACATGAATCAGTCATTTACCATAAGGAATATTTTACTGGTATTGGTGGAAATGAATGACATATGACATAGGATCATGTCTTTCCCACTTGCTGTAAGCCACAATTAACCTAATTTTTCTGAATGTTAAAAATTTCTGAGAAATTAGGGCTTATACTCTTCTGTCATTTAATATTTTTTCTAATCATTAAACCTTGAAATACCAAACAAAACTTGTAGTAAATATGAGTATTTGTATGATCAATTCTAGAACTAAATGTGCAAATCTCCTTGAATTTAGGTTATGATGAAATGCTGAGAGGTGCACAGAAAAAATTCATTAAAAGGCTAAAAATTTTTAAGTATGTTTTTGATTACTTATAAACCTACAAGCATAGCAAGGGAAAATGCAAGAGTTTAAGAAAATATTAACTTTTCTCAAATTATTATTTCTTTATTATAGTCAACTGTATATCCCCTTAATCTACTTCAACATTCTCAAAATGGAAACTTTTGGATAGTTTAAATAATTATCATGTTTCTGAAGACAGAGAACAAGGCATCATGAACTATAAAACACAAAAGAAACTAGATTCTTGCATTTCTAGACATATGGCAAAGGAGTTAAACAGCTATTGATAAGAAAACATTTTTGGAGAAAAAATCTAACTGCTATTACACTGAACTTAACATACTTTATAAATATGAAAATGTCATCTTGCTTCAACTTCTGCTTTTTCTTTAAAGTCTTTATAGCTACATCTAAGCCTGGGAATACTGGACCAGTATTCCACTCCACAATGATAGGTTAAACACTGACTTTATAGAGAGCTAATATTCTGAACAAAAGGAACTACAAATGGGTAAACTGTAAAGCATAAAAGGCAGTTATTAAGTGAGGAAAACACAAAGTGATATAGATATATGAAAATTATTAGGCTTAAATTATTATCACTGTAGGTTTTTTAAAGGAGCTACATTTGTTTCAACTATTAAGTAACATGAGACTGTAAAGTAATTTAAGCAAAAAAGGTGGTTTTTCTGAAAATTAAAAATGAACTTAAAAAAAAACTTTGATAAAAATGAACTTCAATCCAGACTGTTCAGGAGGAAAAAAAGAGACAGAAATTACATATTGTAACAAGGTGGGGCTGCTACTCTAGAAAATGTACCATGGTGATGTGAGATGTATGAAGGGAAGCCAGGTGAAGGTAAATGGCAACTCTATCTATGTAACTCTTCTATAAATCTATAATTATTTTAAAATCAAAGGTAAAAAAATCCCACAAAGAAAATTCCAGGACTAGATGGTGTCAGTAAGCAACCAAACATTTAATGAAGAATTAGTATTAACTCTACACAGATTCTTCTGGAAAACTGAAGACAGAACAAGTGTTCATATCAAGCTAATAGTAATTAACTATCAACTGACTAATCCTGCTCATGAACATAGATGTAAAAGTTCTTTATAAAATCTTAACAAATTGATTCCAACAATGGTCTAAGAAGACAATATATGACGCCTAAGTAGACTTGATCCCAGGAATGCAAGATTGGTTTAAAATTCCACAATCAGTCAAGAGAACTTTAACATTACGGGCAGTGGGGGGAGTTGAGCCACGTGAAATTCTGCCAAAATTCGACATCAATTAATTAGAAAAACTCTTAGCAAAGCAGGGCTAGAAGGGGGCTTCCTCAATCTAATAAAAGGCATCTAACCACCATGTGGCACCACCCCAAACCCCTGCAGTAAGATCAAACTTCTTGGTGAAAGAAGGAATGCTTTACCTACAGGAGATCAAACACAAAACATGGACATTCTTGCTCACCATTTCTATTCAGAAATGTACTGAAGCTTTTAGCAAAAGCAAAAAGATAAATAAAAGACATACATATAAATAGGAAGAAATAAAGTTGTCTTTATTTGTAGACAACATAATTGTGTATGTAAAAAAATATAATCGGATTTATAAAAATACACTAAAATTAGTAAGTGCACACAGCAAAGTTACGAGATACAAGCAATGAATAAGAAACTAAAAGTTTCTGTTTTTGTTTTTGAGACAGGGTCTCACTATGTAGTTGAGACTGACCTGGAACTCACTATGTTGTTGAGACTGACCTGGAACTCACTATGCAGCCCAGGCTGGTCTTGAACTCACAGTGATCCTCCTGCCTCAGCCTCCCGAGTGCTGGGATTATAGGCGTGCGCCACCACGCTTGGCTAGAAACTAAAGTTTTTAAATGTCATAGGAGCATTAGAAAGTATGAAATACTTAGGATAAATTTGGTTTAAAAAGTATACAAGATATGGACATTAAAACTAAGAGAAATTAAGGGATATGATTTTCATGCATTAGAAAAGCCAATATTATTAAGATATTAATTCTCCACAAATTGGTCTATAGATTTAATGCAACTTCAACCAAAATCCCAGCAGGATTTTTTTTTTGTGGAAACAGACAAGATGATTCTAAAATTTGTATTAAAATTCTTACAACCACTAATAAGCCAAAAGAACTCTGAAATATAAACTTGAAAGACAAGTTTATTACTCTACCTTGCAAATTAGTCAAATTGTGGTACTGATTTAAGATAGATACAATAGGTCAACATTAAGCGAACAAAGTCTAGAAACAGAGCCACATATATAGTCAATTACTTTTTATTGTGGTAAACATAAAACAAAATTAGCTATTTTAATTTCAAGTATAAAGTTCTACGGCATTAAGCACATCCACATGGTCTGCAAACACTACAAACATTCATCTATAAAACTTTCATCTTTCCACATTAACTAAACATCAAACCCTCCACTCTACCCTTCTTACAGCCTTGGCAACCATCATTCTACTTTATGTTTCTATGAAACTGACTACTCCAGTATCTCTCCTAAGTGGATTCACATAATATTTTTCCCTTTATGACTGACTCCTATCATTTAATCTAATATCTTGAGTTCATTCATATTGTTGCATATATTAGAATGTCTTTTTTAAAAGCTGAACAATATCCTTTTTACGTACACTTCACATTGATGGACATGGGCTGTTTTATTTTTTAAATACTGTGAATACTGCTACTGAATGTCAAGTGGGTTTTAAATTTTTTAATAACTTTATTTGGTTTGACTCCTTTTCAACACACAGAACAGAATGTGAAAGGTACATTTTAAACATTGTGCCAATTTGGTTGTTAGGCCCTTTGGAAGACATAACTTAACTTTGAAGTGGACCACTGTTGGCCAGAAAGAGTAATTCTCATACCAAGGTATCAAACCCAAATTCGGTAATCACTTATTTACCCAAGGCATCTGGCCTTCCTCTCAATGCTGAGTTCTTTTTTGATAGGTAGATATTGCCCTACTCTAGCGCTTCTTCTCACTGTACATGGCAATATAGGCAATTAGCTTTTGGAGTCTATAAAAATTATCTCCCCATATCATCTTGACATTCCTGTAAAAAATGACAGTATTTCTATATTCTTTTAAGATTGTGATATAGAGTGAATTTACCATTGTTATTCTCTAATAATTTTTGTTATGAAAATTTTTCCTACATCTTTTATATTTTCTTTATTAATATCTACTTGCATTACATTAAAATAAGTGATTGAGTGGTGATATGTGTATCAGGTCCCCCAAATAAATGTGATAATTATGCATGAAAAGATATATTAATAGAGAATGAATGAATTCTATGAGAAAAATGATAGTATTTTCTGTAGTGGACTTGTTTTCTGTCCTATAAGCTTTTATTATGCATTGCTTTGTGAGTTATAAAAAAATACTTTTATAAAATATTTTCAATTACGAAAAAAATCCAGGGCCAGAGATTTGGCTTGCTGGTTCTGCCACCTGCCTCACAAGTGCAAAGACCCGAGTTCGATTCCCTGGTACCAAAAAAAAAAAAAAAAAAAAAAAAAAAAAATCCAGCCTCTATTAAAATGTCACAATAGTTGAATAAAGTAAGATATAAATGTTTTTTCAGGCATAACCCTCTTTATTAACTCCAGAGAAAACAACAACAACATCGTTGTGTTTCCTGACTTTAAAGATGTAAATCTAGACCTGTAGATGAGTACTTTCTGAATATAACTGCCAACATTGGTCAGGTCATTAAATTTTTGGCAAGATATGAAAGTAATTTGATGGGGTAAAGGATAATCTTTTCATCAAATGGTTATGGAACAAGCAGTTGACCATAGAAAAGTTCTTCATCCTTATCTCAGCCATGTATAAAAATTAAATTAAGATGAGTTATAGGCCTATATTTAAAAGCCAAAGCTATAAAACTCCTAGAAAACAAACAGGTGAAACTCTAGTGATTCTGGGTTTGGAAAACACTGCTTCAAATGGACTTTAAAAGTTTACCCATCTTGGGGGCAAGGATTTAGCTCAGTGGTGCTGCCACCTACCTTGCAAGTGCAAGGTCCTGAGTTCGATCCCCAGTAGCAAAAAAAAAAAAGGAGTGGGCAGGGAATCAGCTCAGTGGCACTGTGCCTGCCTTGCAAGTGCAAGATCCTGAGTTTGATCCCTGGTTCCAAAAAAAAAAAGTTTACCCATCTTTAAGGCAGAGAAGTACTCCATTGTATATAAATACCACATTTTCTTTATCCATTCTTCTGTTATCAGGCATACAGGCCATTTCCAAGATTTAGCTTTAATAATATGTGCTGCTATAAACATAGGTATGCATGCATCAATGTAATATGATGACTTTAACCCATTTGGGAAAATACCTAGAAGAGGAATATCTGGGTCAAATGGAATGTCTATTTTTAGTTTTTCAAAGACTCTCCAAACTGATTTTTGTAGTGGTTCTACTAGTTTACATTACCACCAACAATGTAGAAGGACTCCTTTTTCCTTGAAGCCTTGCCAGAATTTGTCATTACTTGATTTCTTCATGATAGCCATTCTTTTTTGAGTAGGATGGAATCTGTGTTGTGTTAATTTGCATTTCTTCAATGGCCAGTGATGTTGAACATTTTTCTGTGTATTTATTGGCCATTCATACTTCTGAGAAGTGTCTATTCATTTCGAGTGCACATTTTTGATTGGGTCTTTTCTTTTGGTGGGGTCTAATTTCTTTGAGTTCTTAGGATATTCTATTTTGTTTTTTTCTTTTTGGTACCAGGGATCGAACTCAGGTCCTTGAGCTTGCAAGGCAGGCCACCGAACTGCTGAGCTAAATCCCCAGCCCCACTTTTGTGGTTTTTTGAGACAGGGTCTCACTATGTATTCAATACTGACCTGGAACTCACTATGTAGCCCAGGCTGGTTGCGAACTGACACCGATCCTCTTGCCTCAGCCTCCCGAGTGCTGGGATTACAGGCGTGCGACACTATGCCCAGCTGCTTAGGATATTCTAGATGTTAGTTTTCTGTCTGAGGAATGGCTAGCAAAAATTTTTTTCCCATTCAGCAGATTGTCTCTTCACTTTGTTGGTTGTTTTCTTTAATGTGCAGAGGCTTTTGTTGATTCTTCGTACTATTTCTTGTGCTACTGGGATTCTGCTCAAAAAAGTCCTTGCCTACAACTATGTCTTCAAGAGTTTTGCCTACTTTATCTTTCAGTAGATGAAGTGTCTCTGTTTTAACATTCAGATCTTTGATCCATTTTGATTTTAGTTTACATCGTGAGATAAAACCATATTATTAAGTGAACTCAATTAGACACACAAGCTTAAACATCACATAGTTTCTCTTATATGAGAAACCCAAAATATAAATAAAGAGCAAAATAAAAGAAAATGGGAAGTAGGAAGATATTTTTCAAATGGGAAGAGGAATGAGAGGTAGAGGGAAGCGAGGGAAAAGGGATGGTTAAAAAAAAGGAAAGAAAAAAGAAAGAAAGAAAGAAAAAGGGAAAGGGAAAGGAAAGAAAGGAAAACAGAGCTTTTACAAATGGGAAGGGGGGCCGGGGATTTAGCTCAGAGGTTTGGTGGCCTGCCTTGCAAGTGCAAGGACCCGAGTTCAATCCACCGTACCAAAAAAAAGAAACAACAAATGGGAAGGGGGGCCGGGGATTTAGCTCAGAGGTTTGGTGGCCTGCCTTGCAAGTGCAAGGACCCGAGTTCAATCCACCGTACCAAAAAAAAGAAACAACAAATGGGAAGGGGACCAAGAGTTGTAAGGAGTGTGTGTGGGGGAGTGCTATACACATACAAACTCCCCACAATAAATGTGATCATTAAGTACTGTAAATATGTACTAATAAAAATTGTATAAATTGATTTAATCAAAATTGAAGCTTTAAACTTCAAAGGATATACTTATAAACTGAATAAGTAAAGTTACAGATTTGGAATGAATATTTGTAAGCTGACAAAGAGCTTGTATCTTGAATACATAAAAAAACTCTTATAGTTTAATAAGACACATTTTAAAAGAGGCAAGGGTTAGAGGTGTAGCTCAGTGGTAGAGCATTTGCCTAGCATGTTCAAGGCCCTGAGTTCAGTCCCCAGTTTAGAAAGACAAAACAAAATGGAACAGAAAAAGCAAAAGATGTGAACACATTCCTCACCAAAGAAGGTGTGAGGACAGAAAATAAGTACACTAAAAGATGATCAACATCATTTCTCATTAGAGCCATGCAAATTAATATCACAATGAGACAACACAATCCACCCCCTGGAATGCTAAAATGAAAAAAGATCAACCATATGTAGCGTGGTAAGAATTTGCAGCAACTAAAACTTTCAAACAATACTGATGAGAATGTAAAATGATACTACTATTTTGGAAAGCAGTTGTACATGAGCCACATCACTTCATGACAGTTAAACTGGACTGTCAATCTGATTGGCTTGAAAGTTGCCCATGGATTAGTAAACCAAACTTCTGGGCGGATCCTGGAGGCATGACCTGGGACCTTGAGCGTGTGAGGCAGGCAAGGGTACCACTGAGCTAAATCCCTGGCCATGACCTTGTTATCTCTCCTTGGCCTCTTCTCTCAAGGTACTGTTCCTTCTGCTCTGCTTTCTGGCTGCTATGAACAAAGCAGCTTTGCTCCACCCTACTGCCTTGCTATTTCTGCAAGCTGATCGCAGAGGGAACCCTCGGAAACCATAAGCCAATAAAACCTCTCCTCATTTAAGTTGTGTAGGTCATATATTTGGTCCCAGGGACAAAAATCGGATTAATATACACTTGTAGGATTTATCTACAGAAATTTGCCCACAGAAATAAAAGTGTATGACCACACAAAAATCTATATGCCAGTGATGATGAACCTTTTAGAGACAAGTGCCTGAAGTGCAATCCAAAACTCGCTTATTTAGTGCAAAGTGCCAACACTGCAAATAAACCTAAATATTGAGGTTTTAGTTTAGAAAAAGCAACTCATACATTAACAGCTTTTGTCTTACAAGAAAAACAACACATGTACAATAGGTTCACCAACACTGGCCTAGGGCAGTGCCTAACACACACCTGACCACAGCCCAGGTCAAGGACCCAGGAAGAGTCAAGTACATGGCACAGAAGAACAGCACGAGATTATGAGGCACAGGACTGTCTGGCCCCATTCTTGTCTCCATGACTTTCTAGGTGTGTAACCTTGGCAAATGTCTTACCATGTGTCAATCCCAGTCACCACTGCTATAAGTAAACACTTACTGCAGCTTTATTTGTAATAGCCCAAAACTAGAAACAATCCAAATATCCACACACTAGTGAATAAATAAATTGTAGTATATACACATGGTGGAATACTACTCAGGAAACAAAACTATTGATACATGATTAAACCTCTAAATAATGAGGCTCAGCAAATGATGCCAGTAAAAAATAATGGAGAGGGGCAGCTGCGTGGTTTCATTGTGAAAATTACAGAAAATACAAATTATGACAGAAAACAGGTCAGTGGGTCCTACAGACTGGGAAAGCAACAGATTACCATGATGGCTATGTTATGATTTTATTTTGAAGATGATGTCATAGGCTTACAGTACATATGTCAAAACTCATTGTATACTTTAAGTACATAGTGGTACCTCAGTTCATAAACTCAATTCTTTCCACAATTCTGGTTGCAAAATGAACTAGACAAGAAGTGAATTAAATTTCTTTATAAGGTCAACATCGAACCCAATCACTGAATTTGGTTAGGTTCTCATTCAACTCAGTTTGCAACCAGAATCATGGAAAGAATCAAGTCCACAAACCAAGGCATCTCATATGTCGAGTATTCCCTGATAAAGCTGTGAAAAAGAAAAAAACTTACAGAAAAAAGTCCTCTTCTTCATCTGAATCATCTTCCAAAAGATTTCTCTGTCAAACAAACAAACAAACAAACAAAAAACAAAACAAAAAAAAAAACCCAAAAACATAAAAAAGAAAGAAAAAGGAAAGGATTTTGAGTTTTCAGATGCAGGAGTTTTAAAAAAATGTCAAAGAGGTGTAATGAAACAAGTTTTCTATACTAGTAAAACTTCTTAACCACAAGCTTCTAGGCAGAGAGAAGAATAATTACATACACTTCACTGGAAACTAAAAGGTGTAAAACAAATTTACCCACCTTCCAAATAAATGCTTACAATTTCAGAATTCTACAGCTGACACTGCAGGTAAGTCAGGAAAGAGCACCTCCCTTTTTCCTCCTGCCTTCCAGCCTCTCTCTTTACTAGCAGGACTTAGTAGGGAGCCAGGTGGCAAAGAGAAAACATAGTTTATGGAGTTCAAACAAAACAGAACAGAGGGGTAAACTTTGGAGTTTAATAATTGACATAATTCACCTACTCAGTTTTTAAATGGCCCTCTACACAGATTTAAACTTCAAAACAAAAACTTTATATTTTTCACCTTATAAATTAGAACAATCCTCCCTAAAATGAAGCTGGCCTTACCATGCTGCCAAGAGAAGACAAGAATTCCCAAGGAGAATAAAGAAGAGCAAATCCAGACCTGTTCAGTCAGATAAGAACTTAAACAGTTTTCACTTGTAGGACAGAAAAACAGCTGTCCATGTCCTAATCACCAAAACCTGTGAATCAGTTAATTTGCATGTTTGTAAGAGGAAATCCATCATGGATTATTCATATGGGCTCAAGCTAATAGGAGGGAAAAGTAGGGAGACAGGGAGGGGAAGGGGGCAGGAAGTGGAAAGAGGAAGAGGAGGAGATAGAGGAAGGGCATGAGCCTTCAGAAGCTTGGAAAGGCAAGAAAACAATTTTTCTCATAGTGCTTCTAGAAGGAAAATAGTCCTTCTGGCACCCTGATTTTAGCCCCATAAATCCTATTCCGGACTTCTGATGACCAAAAGTACAAGATAATAACTCTGTGGTGTTTTAAGTCTGTGATAATTTTTATTTTTATGGTACCAGGGATTGAACATGGGTCCTTGCACTTGCCAGACAGGCGGCGGAACCACTGAGCTAAATCCCTGGCCCTGTGATAATTTTTTTTTTACAGAATAAGAAATGAATACTTCACCCATGTACTTTTTTGAGGAAATTACTGTAGGAATTATACTAGCCAAAATAAAATGAAGATCTTAAGATAGAAATGAATACAATCAAAGAATCTAATAAAATATGTAGCCAAACTTAAATGGTTAATGATAATGTGATTGTACCATATGTAAGATAAAGCTATTGAAAAATAAAAGGCATAATAAAAGGAAAGTTTTAAAAAGCCAAAACCTTTCCTAACAAAACTCTGAAGCTGAGAGTGGGACAGTGAAGTGAGGAGGCAAGAGCACACTCATGCTCATTTTGGAGAGAAGTGGAAGGAAGGGGACAGGGCTGCAAAGAGTAAGGCAATGGAAAGGGCGCGGTTTTGTGGAGGGGACATAAAACATAGTTTAAACATTACTGCTAAAATATAAAGTTACAAACAAAGAGATGTAGAGAGAGAAGTGGAGAAAGGGAGTAAAACTGCTAAACTGCTTAGTGGCTCCAGAGGCAAGTGAGAAATGAGAATAAAAAGCCCAGCAAAGGGCATAAAAGAGGGAAAATGTAAGAATACAGAGAATATCATTTTTACATATCTGTGTAAAAATAAATAATGAATTTCTTTAACTGAAATACCGAGTAGTTTCTTTGGTGTGAAAAACTACAATAGTACACAGGATCCTAATGAGATAATTAGTAATGTGAAATAGGAAGTAAAGGGCTAAAGGTGTAGGGAAAGTGGGAAAGGTGGGGGAAAGGTAATAAGGGGAGGAAAAAAATATGAGAGACTGAAAAAATGGAAATAAAGTGTTTGTAAATGGGGAGGGGAGGAGAGGGTGAAGGGAGGGCAGGGACAAGGGGAAAAAATGAAAATCAAGACCTATTATGTAAAGGTACAGGATCCCAAAAATGAATGTAACTGTACTGTATACCTAGATTGTACCAATAAACTCAATAAAAAGAAAAAAAATAATATAATGAGTTAAACATGAAAGAGGATGCATTCGCTATGAACTTAAGTATTTTTTAGCATTCTTTATGTGCTAGGAACTGTTTTAAGCAGCCAAGTATCAGCTTTGAATAAGATAGGTCTTAACTGTCACAGAAAAATATGTGACTGTGCTACATGTTATGCAGAGAATTAAAACAGTGATGGGACAAAAAGTGACAGGGGGACTGCAGGAGATTAGGCTGTCATAGAAAATCATTCTGAAAAGGTAAAATTTAAGCTGGGACCCAAAGGATAACAAAGAGCCTGCTAAAGATTAGGGTAGAGAGCTTTCATTGCTGGCACAGGAGCCAGCTGGCACAGGAGCCGGCTGGCACAGAACAAGTCAAAATGTATTAGTTCTTACCACAAATGGGAATGGTTTGAGTGTGTCTCTTTCAAAACAAAAGCCACATATGACTGGATTTTTAAAACATCCCACTAATAACTGTTTACAAGAAATTCAACTAAAACAAATGTCAAATAATGAAGGGGGTGAGTAGAAAAAGGGAAAAGAAAAGATGCATCAACAAACTGTAACAAAGAGAATGGTAAAAGTTCACGATCTAAAAAGAAATTTTAAGGCTGGGATTTAGCTCAGTGGTGCTGCCCCTGTCTTGCAGGTGCAAGGTCCTGAGTTTGATTCCCAGTACACCCCCCACACACACACAAAAGAAAGAAAAAGAAAAATTTTAGGACAGATTGTTAAACAATCAAATAAGAATTACAATGACAAAATGCACAATCCATGAAGCAGATTTAGCAGCAATGAATGTTTATATACCTTAACAATATAGCTTCAAAATATGTGAAACAAAAGCTGCTAAAGTTACAAGAACAAAATGGTATATGATGCAATTTGTTTTTTAGAAGATGACACTAAATATAAATTGTGTTTATTAAAGTTGTACACTGAGAAAAATACCTGAAAATCTGTGCTTGCCACACATTCAATGAACGAGCATGAGTGTTAGGAATACAATGTCAAAAAAAAGTATAAGGGGATACAGTGAGAGCCTGCTTCACACTCCATATAGGCGGGAACAGTAGGTGTTGATATGGGTGTGGAGAAGCTGGAACCCTCACACACTGCTGGTGGGAATGTAAAAATTGGGCAACCACTGTGAGAACAGTTCTGCAGTTCCTTAAAGGGTTGGGCATAAAGTTATTAAGACACCCAGTCATTCCACTTACAGATATGTACCTAAGAGAAAGGAAAACCTATGTTCAAACAAATATCTGCACCCTAAGTCTTAGCAGGAGTATTCACAATAACCAAAATTCAAATGTCCACCAATGATTGAACAGATATCCAAATGGGATACACCTGTGCAACAGAATTTTATTCAGTAATAAAAAGGAATAAAGTATTGATCCAACAACATTGACTACATTAAACTAAGTTAAAGAACTCCAACAAAACAGGAGGATGTAGCCCAGTACTGCAAATTAAAAACAAAAACAAAAAAAACTAGCAATTAGTCTTTTGGTGGGTTCTATTCCCCATCAAATTATAAAATCAACAAGTGAAAGAGTTAGAAAAGAAAGACAAAACTTTTTTGGATTGCATTAAAAGATAATTCTAAATCATAAAATTCTGGGCAGAGTGGATAACATGAGGTTCTGAGTTTCCAAAGTTGTAAATTAAAAAAAAAAAAAAAAAAGCATATAAAAGAAAGTCAGGTGGACTAAAAGCTCTCTAAGGGCAGTGACCATACCCATGTTCTACAGGTTTTAACACAACACCTAGCACATTGTAGGTGGTCAATAAATATTTATTCAATGATTCAGTAAATGAAATAATGACAAGAAGAAATGAAGTGAGGGAATATTTCAGATTGTTGGATAAAAAAGAAAAAGAATACTAATTCAAATACATCTTTAGCACTTATTCTAAAAGTAGTATCTCTATAACAAAAACATCAAATGTTGTCTTTCAAAGTACTGCATGTAGTAAATTCCAGAGTTCGTTCTTTCTCCTTCTCTCTCTCTCTCTCTCTCTCTCTTTCCTCTAATTCTTTTTCTTTAAGGTGCTAGGAAATGAACTAAGAACCTGCTGCATGCTAGACAAACACTTTAGCACTGACTTATACCCAGCCCTAATTTCTAGATTTATACATATTTATATAGAATATTTGGAATGAACTAGATTGGAAGTATTATATAAAATATATTCTGGGCTATAAGACAATTACAGGTCCAGAATTCATTATCTATAATTATAAAATCTAAAAACTTCTGTAAGCCACAGATATTGCTAAGTTTGGTGTCAAAACTCATATGGAGGAAAACTTGACCTGCACTAATGTTAGCTAATTTATTTACATATTTAGATAATCATAAATTTCACTAAGAAATATTAATATATTTAGAGGTGCCGGCCTAGGCTGTAGTGTAATTTGGACAAAATTCTTCAAGCTGAAAAATTCTGAAAACAAATAAATACATTTAGGTTCAGAGTTCTGCAAATCTAATTGTATAAAATTTTCCTTGAAGGATATGAAAGAAACTGTGAACATAATGTGTTGATCAATAATGGAAACAGAATTCAGTTGAGCCATCAATCTTTTTAATATGTTTACTATAAATAAAATAAGTAAGATTATAGTGTTGTGACTCAGAAAATGGAACCTCAAAGTAAAGGACTCAGAGGCTGCTACAGTAGTAAAGTTTTTCTCTGATCTGTTCCTGTCTCTCAACTTCATTTTCCCAAGGCAAGCCACAGAAACTTGAATTTCTTACTCCCAAAGTGTGTCATAGAAACTAGAACCCCTGCTTCTCAAAGCTAGTCATGAAATTCAAAAGTATTACCCTAACCTTCTACCTTTCCATGTAAGAGTTGGCTATAAAAGCATCCTCTAACTGACCCTGTTTAATTGTAGGTCATAAGACTCCCATTCCAGAAAGAGCCCTACCCAGTACTCAGACGGAAGGAATGATACCCAGAGAGGCTAATAAACTTAATGGACAGGCCTTGCTGGATTTCCCGCTCTCCCACTAGGCTATCACTATCAGATAATATGCCTTTTGTCCAATCACATTTGTACACAGCTATTCTTGTACAGCATAAAAATGGATAATTCACTCTGGGTTTTTGGGGTTTTTTTTGGTACCGGGGATTGAACATGGGTCTTTGCGCTTGCAAGGCAGGCCACCAAACCACTGTGCTAAATCCCTGGCCCTCACTCTGGGTTATGAGGTCTTCAGTCCCAAGGCTCCAGTGTCATGTAAAACTATGATCAAATAACCTGTCACACCTTTTTCTTGTCTTTTGTCTTGGGGTACTGGCCATAACCCTTTAGGATGAATAGGAAAGGGGTTGCCCCCTTTTCTGCCCCTGCAATAGCCACATGCTGTAGATTTTTTTCTATTATTTTTAAAAGGGAGTCGGGTGTGATGGTACACACTTGTAATCCCAGCACTCAGGAGGCTGAGGCAGGAGGATAACCAGAAGTTTGAGGCCAGCCTGAACTACAAAGTGAGACTCTATTTTTTTTTAAAAAGTAATGCGAACATATTTTGAAGCTTACTTTTTTCAAAGCTTAAGATTCTGAACTTACCCTTTCACTTTTCACAGAACCAGTGACATCATCATCGTTTAGGTGGCGCTTGAATTTGGGAGGCATACTTTTTACTCCTGGAGCACTTTGCTACTTCCCAGTAGAGTAAATATTCACCACCTGAAGGATAAAATAAATTTCATTAGATTTAAGATGTTAGTGACAAGATGAAGTATTTCAAACAGTGTACCATCCCCTATCTGGTGGGTTCTCCCTCTTTTCTGACTACTCCATTCCAAAGAGCCAGGCCTCCTTACTAGGTTTGGTGAATGCAACTTCCCTAAGAAAACAAATGGAGGAAATGAGTAACTTGAGGGTTTTATAAAATGAAACAGTAGATCATATGAAAAAGGGGTAAATAGGAGGTTCTGTATAAATGTTAAAATACTTTATGATTTTAACTTGGAGTCAGAAGATAGCAGTCAACTTCTGCTTCTCTCACTTTCAGTTATTTGTGTAAGCAATGACTCAGTTTCCTCATCTGCGGAATAGGGTTTCCTATGCCTCTACATGGAGTTGGGATAGTCACATCAAATAATACATGCAAAGTCATCTGTAAACTATCATGTCCCACAGGTGTTCCATGAAAAGGGGTATGTTTGGCAAGTACTGGTATGATATTGTGATGCATAACATAGTAATTATGTGTGTGCATATTAAAAGTACTTAATTCTGAGATTTATCTAACTATCCACCTACCTACCTACCTACCTACCTACCTATCTTAGGTCTTCCTTTTGTTTTTTCACATATAGTTTATAAAACCCTCATACTCTGCCCTGAGTGATATGTGTTTTTTGTTTGTTTCATTTTTGCTAATGACATGACCAGTGGCTGACAGCCTCTAGGTAGTTTCAGAATGGGGGCTACTCACAGGAAAGTCCAAAGCATGATTAAAAGGTTGGGATGTTTCAGCCCTACTCCCTCCCAATCTCTAGGGAGGATAGACGGGATAGCTGGTTGCTAATGGCCAACATTATAATCCATTATGGCTAATGAAGCTTTCATTCTCATGAAAGAGGACAGGTTCCAGAGGGTGGCATGCCTCAAGGAGTCATGGAAACTCTGAGCTCCTTCTCCCACACCTTGCTTTATGCATCTATTCCATCTGACTATATGTATCCTTTTTAATGTCCTTCATAATAAAACAGTAAATGTAAGTAGTGTTTCCCTGAGTTGTAGGAGCTACTTCAGCAAATTAACTGAACCCAAGGAAGGAATTGTGGGCACACAGTTTATAGATGGTTAATCAGAAGCACAAGTATAAAAACCTGGGGTTTGCAATAGGGATCAGTAGTGCAGGGAAGCCTGTGGCACTGAGCGCCCTCAAACAATGGGATATGATGCTATCGACAGCATCAGGAGTGAATTAAATTAAAACATTCAGCTGATATAATCTGGAGAATCTGCTGCAACATTGCATACTTTTGGGTGGGGAAAAGATTTCCATATATTTTGGGGTCACAGAATGTTCTGCTATGACAGGAGAAACAAATTTGTTTTTTGTATATTAAAACAACTGGGTTATACAAAGCCAGCCTCACAGCCTTTTATATGCTAATATGCACTGTGATCTTCCAGGAAAGTGCTTGAGTATGCAACATAATCAAAATTTTCTTGAAAAAAAGCTGTCCTGTGCAAATACTAATTTTCACTATTTTGGACCAGATGATGGGTGAATATCTAGGAATTCAAAAGAGCTAAGATGTAGTGAATGTTTCCTATGTGCTGGACAATTTATATTTGCAGTTTTTCAGTAGTATGGAAATATTCTGTCCTCAGAGTTATACATGCATTTTCTCTTTTATTCCTTTTTTTTTTTTTTTTTTTTGTACCTGGGATGGAACTCAGGACCTGTACTTGAGAGGCAGGTGGCAGAACCACTGAGCTAAACCCCCCGGCCCTCTTCTATTCTTTATATAACACCCTGAAGTAAGCACTAAGAAATCCGAGAAAACTAAGACTTAGTAAAGATAAGTAATAATGATAGTCCCTTCATTCACTGAAACAGAGACATAACCCTTAAATCAATGGCTATGTATGATCACTTATAGTATTTATTCAATTAGGTACTACTGGGTTACAAAATTCTGTTCTAGAAAGACATAGTTCCTTGTCACAACCTAGTAGCCCTTTATCGTCTTCCACAAGAATACCTCTAAGATGTCTGAATCAAGTACCCACTAGTTTGTTGGTTAATATTATACACTAAAAAAAGAAACAATAAACAAGATCAAGTTATAGTTCTACAAACCAAATAAAATTATTTTAATTCAATTTCCCATCAAAACAAACAAAAATACTTTTCTGATAAAAAAAAAAGATGCTTGCAAGCCAGAAACTAAACCACTTTAAACACAAACCAAATTCTTGCTACCTAAGTAAAAGCTCTAGATTTCTTCACTCTCCAATATTTCTGTCACGTATATCTGGCCCACTTTATTCCTCATGCTTTGATTTCAGATTAATTCATTCATGCAGAATGGTACAGCATGCATGGAAAAACAATGACAAAGCAAATAACTGAAGAACTTCAGCTTTTCTTTTCATTTTATCTGTATTTTATTTATATTTTAAACTCTACAAAGGGTCTCCTCAACCCTCAGCAAACAACAGAAAGAGTTATATAGTGCCTTTATGAGCCATATAGTAAAGCTAAAACTTTAATGAAGGGCAAATCTCATATTCAGGTCCCTTAGGATCAATCTGAGAAGGGCAAGAAACTCAGGGCTGACAAAAAGAAAAGTCATCAGCAAAGCAGCAGGCAAATTAATTAGCTAAACTTGATGTAGTTCATCAAACGCGCAGCTGATGATATTGGTACCAAACAACTAGTAGAAATAAAAGGTGCTCAGAAATGAAAATTGTACATATTCTGCCTAAGATTTCTTCTACAAAAAATACTCTGTCAGTTCAGGTAACTGAACTATTTATGTAAATATGACAGCCATCCAGATACATCTCCATACTGAGGTAAACACCACCACACAATCTACTTAAGCTGTACCCCGCTATGCTCCTCAAACCATCATCAGATGCTTAAAATTTCACATATGCATTTTTCGTAGTACCTTCTGGGTTCAATTACACGTTTAAACTTGCAACCTGTCCTTTAATAAACGCTGGCTTTTTTTGCGTTACAACAACCACCACCACCACAAACTCCTCTGTATTTCATTTCACAAAAAGCTTGCATGTGGGCACAGGCTTTCCTGTTTCCAGTCACCATTCCCTTTCCCACCCCTCTTCATTTCTCATGAGCCGTCTCGGCTGGGGGCAGTTTCACAGAAATAAAGTGACTCAGAGGGACACCGACTGGAGGTGACACTCGCAAAACCTGTCAAGTGTAATGATTCACCTCCACCTGCCGGGCATCAGGAACACAGCAGGGTTGGCGCTTTTTCTCCAGAGCCCTTGAATAAAGAATCAGTTCCGTCTACCCCAGCAGGCAGCTCCGTTCAAATCTCTCTGCCCCCAATCTATCGCACTCTTCTCTTACCTCAATTCCAATTCTTATTTCTCTCCACCGCCCCCACCAGGGCCCCAGTGCAGTCTCCGTTCCCCTCGGCGCCCCTGCCCCGGCCTTTCCCACTCGGGGCTCC